CTTTTCTCTTTTACTTTCCTTTTTAGTTTTATTTTAGGATTCCCTATTTTTAATGTTCATACAGAGATTTCTTTAACTGAAATACTGAATAGTTTCTTTGATGTGAAAAACTATAATAGTACACAGGATCCTAATGAGACAATCAATAATGTGAAATAGGAAGTAAAGGGCTAAAGGTGTAAGGAAAGTGGGAAGGGTGGGGGAAAGGTAATAAGGGAGAGGAAAAAAATATGAGAAACTGAAAAAATGGAAATGAAGTGTTTGTAAATGGGGAGGGGAGGAGGGGGTAGAGGGAGAGCAGGGACAAGGGGAAAAATGAGAATCAAGACCTATTATGTAAAGGTACAGAATCCCAAGGATGAATGTAATTGTATTGTATACCTAGATTGTACCAATAACCTCAATAAAAAGAAAGAAAAAAAAAGACATATGCTCCAGTCAGCTGTATGAACAACAAAGCTGATATTCAGGCCATCGCTAGTCCAACTTCTGGCTCATTTCTCAATTGGAGCTCAACTCAGGAGGTAAAAAGGTAGTTATTATTACCACAACTCTCTTTTCTCCCCAGCAAAACCCACAACATGCAACTCAATGAAAGCCAAATAATTCTTCAGTCCCCTCACAGGCAGTTAAACAAAAAACTAGAAGTACAATCTTTCTCCAAGGAGAAAAAAGTATTTTTTAAACTCCTTAAAATGCCATCACTCTGAAGTTCAGTATCAAACTAGAATTATTTGATAGCTTCCTATATACCAGCAAACTGTGGTACACTCATACAATACACTTGCCTGAATAATAAAATGGAAGAAATTCCCAATATAACAATATGGATAAATTTGAACCGTTATGCTGAGGGAAAGACAGTAGGCATATATGAGTACAATCATGCTGTATGAACTTTCATTTGTACGAACCTCTAGAAGAGGAGAAACTAATCAACACTAAAAAAAAATCTAAACAGTGGTTGTACTGGGTCTAGGAAGTGAGTGAAGAGGTACATCTCTGACATAATGGAAATGTTCTATTTTTTCATTTAAACTGGTGGCTACATGAGCATATCCATTTATTAAAATTCAAATTGAAATTTTAAATATGTACATTTTATCATAAATAAAGTGTGATAAATTTTATCACAATTTTTAAAATATATATATATATAAAGGAATGACAGCATGGAAAACCTTGGCATAGGCTGCTGACAATCCAGAAAGATGGGGAGAGGCAGACTGCCTCCTTGGCACTGGGGGAATGGGAGCCCAACTTGCATGGAATGAGGGCATGATGCAGGAAACAGAGTACAGACAAGTCAAATAGAACTTGGTGATACGCTCAGTAGAAAAAAAACCAGATTCACCAGTGAATTAAAAATCAACTTTCAAGCCCAAATAATACAAAAGCAAAGAGACTCACTTATAACAATCAGGAAATTGAATAATGGAAAGTGGAAGAAGAAAATGAAGAATTCTCAACCCTGTTTAGTTTCAAACGCTGATACCAATGGAATATTCAAATTTCAAGAGTGATTTTTTTGTTGTTGTTGTTACTATCCATTAGCAACATCAACTTGTATTTGTACAGGCTTCAGTTTCCAAAGAGATTTTATAGTTGTTCTCACTGAATCTTCACAACATTCCTATAGGACACTGACTACTTTATAAGAGAAGAACCCATTGTTCAGAGAGTTAAATGCCTGCCTGAAGTCATGCAAGAAACCCACACCTCCTGGTTCCAATACAAAGACCTTTCCTCCATGCTATGTCCACTTCTCTCTGGCAAGATTACAGCCTTTCCTCAGTGCAGCCTGGCACACATTTTTATTTCTGTGACCCTCTAGAAGTCACTACTTTTTTCAATGCAGCAAAAGCCTGCAGAAACTGGGTCATTTTCAGCCATGGCCCACAAAATAAAGGGGGGGGCATAGGACATCTAATTCTAGAATGCTCTAAATTGGTCATATCTTAAACTAGGAGCCGAACCCAGAAGGACAAGATGCTGCAGTAAATCTACGTAGCTTTAAACATTGCAGTCTGGGCAGCCAACTCTGCAAGTCATCCTTGGAACCAACTAACATATTTTTACCACTAACACAGCCAGCACAGTGTAAATGTGAGCAAGCAAGCAACCCCACACTGTGTGTGTTACATGCTTCTCAGTAGAATGCTTCCCCTAGCATTTCCTTTATCCTTATTGCAAAACACAAGAGCTCAATATTTTCATTTATGTAGCCAATATTTAAAGACTGGATCAACTCTTTTGCTTTTGCATACTTATGTTTTAAAGGAATTTCATAAAAGCAGTTATTGTGTAAATACATTTCATATGTTTGCAGAAAGGAACAATAATCCCAGAAAATGCAAACCCTTAACATGCTATGTCTCTGTTTAATGAGATCTATATATGAAAAATTAAATCATCTAAACAGTTATTCACAAGTCTAAAGATTATCTATCTAGTTGCTAGGATAGGAGACAAAGCATTACTGAGATAGATTGAATTTAAAAAATAAACTTGCTTGAGAATACAAAATTAAATTGAACCATGTTTCCAAAGACAAAAGTAATTAAATCAGGAAATTAAGCAGCTGGTGGCATTGCTGCCTGGTAGATTAAGGAGTCTGTAAGACGCGGCCTGGGACAGCTGGCCCCCAGGTCACCTCTTACCTGGATGCATCTGTTCTGTGCTGCTCCGCAGTTTGCTGTAGCCATGGCTCAAGGGCACCCTCTGGTAATGAGGCGGGGAAGAAGGAGGGGAGGCGAGGGGTGACATCGTGGGCGACTGTGTTTCCTGCTTCAAAGAATCAGAGCAGAGTTCAGAGGAGACCACTCGAGAATCCTGTCATTCTGAACTGCAGTTAGGAAGCATAATGCAACTCTACAGCTAGTGACCCTGCTGATTTAACAAATGGGGAAAAATGTTTCCTCAAAAATGCAGCGTGGTTAAAAGGCAGCATCTGAGGATTCAAAAGTCTCCCAGAGAATAAAGGTTTGACAGTGCTGAGTTACCTAAATTACTAAAACCAGCCTGAAATGTTTTCAGTTATTCCAATAATATTTCCTTCAGAAAGTGAAAGACATTGATCACATGAAATTATCTTCATACCCCCCAACTGTGATCTCTGTGGATAGATTCAATTTTCACTTTGTAATAAAGACTCCTTCGAAAGGAAAGAAGGGAAAGGAAAAAAACATGAGAAAAGGAAAAACTGGAAACAGTCTTTGTAAATAGGGAAGGGTGGAAGGGTTGAGGGAGGGCAGGGGAATGGGGAAAAAAATAAGAACCGAGATATATCATGTAAAGGCACAAATTCCCAATGATGAAGGGCATCATACTATGTACCTAAAATGTACCAATAAACTTAATGAAAAAAATTAAAAAATAAAGACTCCTATTTCCTGGATATATACTAACCAAGTATAATAGCAAATGTGAGTAATAATTTTTTATTTTAAATATGTAATACTAAGTACTCCAGGAGCTTACTATGGCAAATTAAAATGTCAGCTTTTTATTTTGGTCTGTTTTGTTTTATACTGCAAAACAACGCCTTATGAGTAAACAGCTCCACTAGCCTGCTCCTAAGTACTAGGATGAAGCCTTCACAAGCCACAGCTTGATTCCCAATTCAAATATGACCCTGATATAGGACCTTAGGCAAGGTAGGCAACCTGATCTGCTCCTGGATTTCCCCCTCCCTTTTTAACATTAGCAGTAGACTGGCAACTCTTGGGCACCCAAGTAATAAAGAAACAGTGGTTTTTTATAACACAGAGACTATATTGGCTTCTTTAGTCTGAAGAGAAATATGCAACCTGAGACACTGATCGAATACTCTTCTTCAAGAAAAAGGGCAACATATTTGCTCTGAAGTATGTGCCCACACCGTAGAATGGGTAGCCACGTAAAAACCCAGCCTCGAGTGAAAAGATAGATCCTTATTCACACAGCTAGAGACTGGAACTGAAAATTTTCTGAGGGCATCAACCACTGCGGGACAGGGGCTCTTCATTCCTCCACAAATGCTGATGGAGGAACGTGCCAAAGAATACCGACTAGAAATTCCTATATTCCCCCTTCTTTTTACTTTTTCAGGACTGGGGACTGAATTCAGGGCCTTCACCCTGAGCTACAACTCCAAACCCCGTTTTACTCTTTGAGACAGGGTCTTACTAAGTGTCTAAATTGCCCACAGAGTGCTGAGATTATAGGTATGCACCACCATGCCCAACCTCCTCCAAACCTTTTGATATATTCCTGAAGAACTGGTTTAAAATGTGTCCAAATAATGAAAATGACAGTACATGCAACTGTTTAACAAGATGTGCTAAATAAACATCCCTTAAATGGAAACCTTCTGCAGCAATGTCTCAAATATTCAATATCATCCAGGTAAGCTGTATAAGTTAATTTTCCAATATAAACCATTAATATTCATTGCATTTAAAAATATTTCAGTTCAAATCTTCCTAAAATATAACAAATTCCTTTATCTTATAGAATACTATATCAAACATAATTTGACTTCTGTGTATGATTCAGTCTCCTTTATCAGAAGTATGAGCTGTATACTGATGTCCTCAGGGTCTACCAATGTGAACAGTATTTATTTCCTCTTGATAGGTCCCTTCTTTGGTTACTGGTAGAGACAAAAGTGTAATATCCCTTCTGACTATTGCAGTTAATGGCCTAATTTTAAAAGCCCATCCTCCCTATTCTGACCCCAAACCAGTTAATTGAGCTATAGCAGCCTTTCCCAAGGTAGCACTTTAACATGCTCCTCAAGAAAGGATTAGGACTTTAGTAAACCTTTATCTCCACATCTCTTTACTGCTAGATTTTTCAGGACCTGGACTGTACCAATGCACACAATGAATTTCCAAGACTGAGGATATAGTCTTTTCTCCAAGAATGAGACATGAAGCTCATTCTCCACACATATTTAACCAGACAGACCTTTGTAACTCCTAGAAGTTACACTTCAAAGAACCTACTTAGAAAACCACTGACCTAGAGAAATCAAATACATGTATTAAATCAATAGCCTTATCCTAGACACAATTCTCTTTAAGTAGGCTCTAAAGAGCCCATGGGTGGCTTGTGGTAATTCCTATGCACTGATTTTTTTTTTTTTTTTTTTTTTTTGCTACAAGGGAACTTTACTGGCTCACTTCCAAGTCTGTAATTGTGTTCCAGATGGTGAGGTTTGCTGGAAGCTCAATGACAGAAAAGAGGCCCTGTTACATGAGGTTTCTCAGTCAGAGTCAAATGAACATGCCTAATCGGACTGTTTACCTGTTTTTCCTCGTCGTCCATTCTTTTGAAGGAATTTTTTTCTGTGGTTAAATATGGAATCTGAACCTTACTCCCATGCAGTTCAGGTGGATTCCCAAATCGCATCTCACCATCGTTCTTTGACATCATAAAGCGAGGCAGAGGCAATTCTTTAGGACCAGAATCAGAGAAGCTCAAATGAGGCTTTATTTAAAAACTGTAAAAAAAAGGGAACTCAATGGCCAAAAGATGAATCATTTTTTGAGAAAAATTCCAAAGTACTAAATATGGATTAAGTTTTGAATTAGGCACAATATGGACTCCTATAACAATGTTATGATAGAAAAACACTGTGGTTTAACCGATGTGTTCTGGCTTAACATTTTTCAATGCTGCTGCTAAATCACTGCAAAACAAGTCCAAGTTTGGGACTGATCTCCCACTTTATCCTTTAGTCCAGTGCCAATAAGAAAGATGTGATGATGTATAAATACAATTATAAATGACAACTTTACCAGGTAAAACTTACAGAATGTTTAATTATGCGAGGCACAATAGTAAGGGATCATGCACTTAATCCTCACAACAACTCTGTAATATAAAAGTATTATCGTCAACTCCCCTTTCAGATGTGGATGCTGACATGAAGGAGCTAAATAATGTCCCCAAGGGCTGAGGATTTAGCTCAGTGGTTCTGCCACCTGCCTCGCAAGTGCAAGGACCTTAGTTCAATCCCCAGTACCAATAATAATAATAATAATAATGTCCCCAAGATCACACAGGTCATCTGAAGGTGAGCCATGGTTTGAACCGAGGAAGGCTGGTTCTTAACTGGGTCCCTACATTAAGATCCCTCATTCCTAGAGAAAATGTACTGGGTAGAACAGTTTTCCATTCAATGTAATTCTTCAAGGAATTTTCACACTCAATCTACAGTTGTCTTTTGATAACATAATAAGGAAAATGGTACCAAGTCAGAACAATCCATCTAACATTCGGCCAGATTGGAATGTCAAAATCATTACCCGCTCACAATGCGACAAAGAGCTGAAATGCAAGTCTGGTATATTTACTTGTCTTTCAAATTCTGACAAAACTCTTTTGAAAATGGAAATGATGCTTTGGCATGCTTCGAGTTCTCAGCAAAGCAAATCACACACAATCACATAGCACAAAGACCAACAAAAAAGGGGATAATATTATGGATTATGCATAATGATTTGCATCTGTATTCATTGTTCAGGATAACGCTCACCAGTGCGCCTCTGCACTTCTATCAGCTCTCCAGTACAAAAACACAGCTGCACTTCCGATGATTGATGTTGTGCTAAAGCCACAAAACATCTTAGCAACAGCAAGTACCCCAGCTCCCCGGGCAAAGGAGGTCCCTGCTTCTCTAATATCCACACCATGTTTATTTTTAGTTGCTATGTCCACATTTGATTCAAAGAAGCAGGCAATACGACAAATCCCTGTGTGATCAATCAGCCACGGGCCCAAGAGACATAAATAGAGGAACCAATCTGGAAAATTAAACTAAGACTCTCCAGTAAGACAGAACGGCTGCCATTTTTAATGTTTAATTTTTCCAAACTTTAGGCACTTCTCCAGCACTCAAAGCAGAAATGGATTTCAAAAGCAAAAAGGCAAGAGAGAAAAAATTCGCAGTCTTAGTAAATCAAATATAAGCCAATCCTATGGTTCTGTTCTCAGAAAAGGTATTTGTTTCCACTCAGTCTGCAAAAGGGATCTAAAAAGATGGAACAAGATCACATAAAATACTTTTTATCCTGATCTTCCCACAAGAGGGTGACGCTGCTTCCAAGTATGTCTTGAGGAGAAAAGCAAGGGATGGTATTTATTTAAAAGCTCCCTGATCAGTATTTTGCTGGCATTCTAAAGCTCACTTGTGGGAACAATGGAGCATAACCTGTAGTGTGAGAAATATCAATAGTTAGATCAGGACCATGTATAGGGCTCCCAGATACCCTTTAGGACAGTTTCGCTTCAAACATTCTTCTGCTCTGGCTGACATTTCTCTAGAACTATTTGTCTAGGAAATAAATACTCTTCCCCAGATAGCCACCAAAGAGCGAAAGGCAAATTTTTTTATAGCTCGAATTTCTCTTGTACCTTTCTTCAGTCATGTGGTTTTGCTGTTGCTGCTGCTGTTGTTGCTGTTATCATTGTTTACTCTTTTTCAGGGGTTTTTTTGTTGTTTTGTTTTTTGTGTGTGGTGCCAGAGATCGAACTCAGGACCTTATACTTGCAAAGCAGGTGAGCTAAATCCCGGCCCTTTTTTTGTTTTATTTTGAGACAGGATCTTATTAAGTAACCCAGGCCAACCTCCAAAAAGCCACAGAAACTACTGACACAGCAGTCTTCACCACTGTAAAATCCTTCTAACTCTCTCACAGGATCTAAAAAATTAAGCACAGGAAGTGAGGCAGCAGGATTAGCCCTAAAAGTATTGATCCTTACTTTACAGAAGACTTTCTCAGTCTCAGCACTATTCACATTTTGAACTAGATGACTGTTAGGAGAGGAGGTCCTGTCCCATACAGTGTAGGACATTCAGCAGCATTTCTTGCCTCTAACCACTAGATTCCCACGCCCCTCTCTCCACAGCCATGACAATCAAAAATGTCTCCACACACTGCCAGTTTTCTGAAGGTACAAAATCACTTGGGTTGAAAATGACTGTTTTACAGATAAGTGAGGAGTCAAGGGAGCCAAATGATTTGCCTTGGCATCTTCTTCGTGATAGACATAACTACAATGGTGGTTTAGACTTTTTGGAATTTCACAGAACAGAAATCTCCTCTATCTTACCCCACAAAAATGAAGGGGACCAATTTAAAGTTGCCAGCATTTTATGTGCCAAGAATTTCACCCCAAACTATAATCCATTATCAATTTCATTAAAAGATGCCTAACGATAGGAACAAAATTAATTTAATACATCAATGTTCTAAATAACTCTTCACCACCACTGGCTTATGGTATCAATAGCAGTATCTGTGGCTTTGTAACTCACTTAATGAGATATTTTCATATCACACCGCACTTGGAGATATCTTGAAAGTATGATAGTTTCGATCACTGCCAGATCTTTTATTTAATGTACTAATAAAGAAGCATGTATATTGCTATTGTGCAATTTCTTTTAAATATCTTGGCAGTTATTTCAAGATAACTGGTTTCCTTTATAATCCTATGGCTTTGTATGCATTTAAAACATTATTCTGGGCTAGGGTGTAGCTCAGCGGTAAGAGTGCGTGTTAAGCATGCCCAAGGCCCTGGATTTGATTCCTAGAACCCTCCCCAAAAAGGAAAAAATATTCCAAGAAGGTGCTCATAAGCTTCATCCAAAGGGTCCACGGTACACAAAGGGTTAGGAATCCTACTCTAGATCCTGCCTAACCTTCCTTCAGTCCTCACATATGCTTAAATCCAGTCCCCAGAAGGAAAGGCAACAGCAGCTCCCAGAGCAAGGGTTTGCCACATGCTTCCCTCATCAGGAATTCTGTCTGATCCTCAATTTTTACCCAATTTCCTTCCACCCTCCAAGTAAGCTATTTCTCCCATTTGTTTAACCCCAGTTCCAACTAGGGTGAGGCTACAAGCTGCTTATTGCCAACATTTAAGGAGGCATTCACTCTAAGGGCCACATACGTGAAGAATTGACACTTGCATAACTGTGAGAGTAAGTGTCCCCGTAACTGATGCAGCCTGGGTCCAGTGCAACCAAATACATACTCTTGTTTAAGCAAAATTCTTTTTTTTTTTTTTTTTTGGCTTTTTGAGACAGGGTCTCACTATGTAGTTGAGACTGACCTGGAAGTCATTATGTAGCCCTGGCTGGTCTTGAGCTCACAGCCATCCTCCTGCCTCAGCCTCCAGAGTGCTGGGATTACAGGCATGCACCACCACGCCTGGCTCTAAGCAAAATTCTTGAAAACACATGACATGTCTTTTATGAGAATTCTTTCTCAACCTTGGCTCCATTAAAGAATCAGCTGAAGATCTCTTAAAAATCCTGATGTTGGGCTGGGGATTTCGCTCAGTGGGCCACCAACTGCCTCGCAAATGCAAGGTCCTGAGTTCAATCCCTGGTACCAAAAAAAAAAATCCTGATGCTCAGGCTGAACCCCAGACTAACTAAATGAGATTTTTCTGGAGGAGGGCCCAGGCCCTCATATTTTTATTTTGTATTTAAAGGTCTCCACATGATTCTTAAGGGCAGACAAGTTGGGGAAGCAGAGCCTACCTAGGAAAATGGCAGACAGACCAGAAAGGCTTCTGCAAAAGCCCCTCTGGGAGTTCAGGGAATGTGAATGCCAAATGTTGTGTCTTGACTAGTGACAGGCGATTGAGACACCCTCACAATGCATCAACATCCAGCTCTTCAGACATTGGTTCAAGAAATATGCACTGAATACCTACAACACCCTACAATGTAGGAGCTAGCAGATCCCCTTTCCTTCTCCTTAGGCAAGTTTAGAGGCTAGTAAGGAAGACCAACCAAAAAATTAGTTAAACCTGTAATGGAATAGTTATAAACTCTATAAGGAAACAGATGCTAAGAGAGCACTGTCCTGTAGAAGAATCTTCCAACAGGCCCACCACCCAAGGATTACTTCATTTCCTAAGAATATATATGTCTGTTGTGACTATTTACTCTCAACTAGGCAATTTTCTAAAAGGCTAGATACTAACTTGCAGAAAACCATTAGCACACAGGTAACTCTTATTGATACCAACACAAATAAATTTTATCTTAGAAAAGAGTATAATAACCAGGTTGTGCTTTTATTATCCTGCAAGGTATTAATCAGTTATGCATAATTTAGCAATCTCATTGTTACTGGCCACTTGGTTTCCTATACTCAGGTTCATTTGCTCACTGCTGACCAAATCAAAGGAGGCCGTTTCTTTTGATAAAAAGGAAAAAGGATTTATTCAAAGCTATCTCTGAGGAGCTGGAGGGGCCCATTTGCCTCAAATCACCACCTCACTGTGTACAGGTGTTTTGGGGTCTTTTCTAGCAAGGAACTGTGGGGGAGGGAAATACAGTGAAACAACAGGCAGGTAGGGCCTTGTTCCATCCCATCCTGGACCCAGAACTCCCTCTCCCTTGCCTAAGGGAATAAAATTGAGCTTGACCTCG